AAGAGCGTAAAAGTTTGTCTCAGCTCCAGCACCCCGAGCATCAACACGCCCTCAGGTAAAGGTGGGAGTAAATGGCCAAGCTGTATTGACAGAGGTAGGGTTTGTTTTTTAATACTCGTTCTCACTTTAAATTCACCAGGGAGGGGTTTGGGAAGCGCTGCGTGTTTGGGGAGCGTTTTGCGCTTCCCGGTCTCTCCAGCCTACAAGTCGAGAGTTGGCGACCGCTTAGAGAGGAGCGAAGATTTTAAACAGCAGAATAAAGGCTTTTCCGTGCCTGCCCCACAGCCCCTCCAGCTCGAATAATGGAGAGACAGTCAATGCACTCTGCAAGCGGCGGCCCATTGTAAGCAGCTGATGGAGAGGAGGCGACTGGGGCCAGCATGGGCTCCTTGCCTTCGCCCTCTCCCCAAATAAACGCGCTCATGTCTGCTGGTCAGTTAAAAGGTGAAACGAACACGACAAAGAAAAAAAGGAAAGAAAAAGAACAAGACAAGCTTTCTATATATACAATCTAAATTTTACTCCCCATACAGTAGAGAGACAGGCAGTGGAGGGCAGAGGAAACAGGCAGAGAGGGAGACAGGGAGAAGGAAAGAGAACAAGGAGAGACGGAGCCAGTGGAAGAAGAGGCAAGAGCGAGCGCCAGGGAACTGAAGGTCCGCTGGACGTCGGGTCCTGGGGCCCAGCCGCCCTCGGACCTTGGACCGTGAGTCGTGGGCACCGGAAGCGAGACTCTGTCAAATCCTGCCCTACCAGGCAAGTAACTCAATGATTATCGTTTCTTTTGAGCTCGGGGTTGGAAACGCGGACAGGCCGAGAGGCAGCCTTGGCTTGTCGCATGGCCTCTGTAGGCCAGGGCCGGAGTCCGGGCAGCGAGGGAGGGACCAGGAGAACTTTCCGCAAGGCCTGCTCCGGAGATGCCCTCAACGGGCCTCTGTCCTGCCGCGCAGAAGCAGGGATCACGGCCGCCACGCCACCCTGGAGCTGAGGATCGTGACAGCCTAGCATTAATACAAATTCAAAACAGGTCTCCCCATCCCCCATCCTCTACCTCCACTCTCATCCGCGGGAAACGGCTACGGGGCCTCCCGCGCGGGGCCAGAGGACAGGGGAAGGCGGAACCGCAGTTTTAGCCCCCATGCCGCTGCCCCCGCTGGTGCCGAGCCAGAGCCACCGTGGAGCCGGCTGCGAGTCTGGCGGGGTTGACCCTGTTGCCCGCGCCTTGCCTTGCGCGGCTAGGGCCTGGCGAGCTTAACTCCTGCCGCCCACCTGCGGGCGCCGTTAGTAACGGAATCCCCTAACGTAAAGCGATCGATGGCTGCCTGTTTGATGTGGGCGACAGTGTCAGCGGATTAAAAGGGACACCAAGCCGCTCTCCCCAGCGGAGACCCGCAGCGGCGGCGGCGGCGGTGAGAAAGCCCTAGATCCGCAGTCCCACAGCCCAGCCAGACTGTAGCAAGAGGGCTGGGGGCGGGGAAGGGGGGGTCACCTCCGAAGGGTGGGGACCGAGGGGGTGTGTGTGAAAAGAATAGCCTGAATTAAAACCAACGACAGTGCTTTCTACTGCGCTGGGCAGGGGCGCGCGTTTGCGTCAGAGGGCGCGCAGGGCGGGCGCGGGGGCGGGGGAGCCGACGCCGGGGGCCGCGCCCGGGGGCTGGGTGGGCGCGGGAATGAGCCAGCCAAACAGGGTTGGCCTCGGTCTGGCCTTGCAGGCTGAGGACAAGGCATGGCGGGAGGACGAGCTGAAACTCCCCGCGAGCGGCGTCGCCCACTCGCTCTCACTGGGGGTTCTTCCTGCCAGCCCCCACACTGAGCTTCTAAACTTGGAAGAGGTTTCTGAGATCCGGCGTGACCCTGAGGTTGGGGAGAAGCTGGGCCTTCAGAGGTGCCTCAGACTAAGCTGCCCACTCCCCGGAAGGAAGGGAAGGAGGGATGCAGCTCCGGGCCCTAGTACCGGAGAGAGGGGGTCTGCAGGGGCTTTAATGGTGGTGCCCAGAGCAATGGAAACCCTCGGCTTTTCCAAGCAGGGTAACAGATCGTGCTCCTGCAGGGCATATGCTTCAACTGTCTGTCGCAAAGGGGGCGGGAGGAACCGAAGCTTTTCGAGGAGAGGCGCTGTCACCTTCTGCGACTTATGCAGCCCAAGTGGCACTAACGGTTCCGTTTCTCTTATGGACCCTGTGCTCCACGACCGCGTTTGCACACCCGCAGAGCGCCTCCACTGGTGCTCCCAGCCCCACCAGCAAAATGGCTTCCGTAGAGAGACTGAGGGGTCCTGGGGACTCCTGGGGAGCTCTGGCTTTCTCTCTACAAAACTGTTTGTTACTGGTTCACCTTGGCACATTCGTCCTGGGCCTGATGCTCCCCATGTTCAACCAGGAGAAAACAATAGTGTCGTGAGGTAGGGCACCTAATAGAAAAGTGATCATATTTTGCAGAAGAACGTAGATCTCCAAATTGTGCAATTCCACACATGTATCCAGGCATGCAAAATCAGAAAGCGCAGTTGGAATTTTCTTCCACCTTTCATTCATTCTCTCTTCTCCAGATCTCTCTCTCTCTCTCCCTTCTCTCCCAAGTCCTTTGCCCCCGGACCTTTAACTGAACTGAGTCTGAGCTTGTGGATGTAGCTGTTGGACTCAGACGCCTTGTGGCCCTTGTCTCAGCAACCTACTTGAGACCACCAGCCCTGTGGCCATATATATTTGGCCCTCTCCAAGGTCTCTCTCTTTCTTGGAGAGGCCAGTGTAGAGACCAGAAAAACCTCGCCAGGGTCTGGACTCCTAGGCCTCCCTTCTCAAGTCTTCCTCTGCCATCCTGTTTTCCACAGGCCAGTTCAGTGCACAAAGTTTCTAGTGTGGTTCTCCCAAGAGATGATGAGACGGTACCACTCCCTTGGGGAGACGAATCAGACTATAAGTTTACAATACTTCTTTCCGGTAGCTAGCATCATGGTTCAGCCTTAATCACTTTTTAAAAGACCTTTTACACAAAACTTGATGTCTCCTAGCTGGACAGCCAGTAAAGGGTTGTGACCTGGTGGGAGAAGGAGAGAAGCAGAGATCTGTGGCTGCACATACAGCATTGATTTGCATTCCAGGCCCCAGAGTCCAGATCTAAGCAGACTTTCCAGCTGATTACCACCGCCCCCCCCCAATATCTTTATTTTGACAAAGGCTAAATCATTCTTCACTAATCCTATGACCTCTTTGATATCGGTATTTTGCTTTCCCCAAACTCATTGAATCATTCATTTTGGCATTTTGGTAAATTACACTGAACAAAGGTGGCCTTGTAAAAATATTTCTAAATATGGTTCAAGATCCCTGAGATCCTACAAATGACCAGATATGTATAGAAAATTCTCTCCCCATACCTCTTCTCTACTTCTAAATCGTTAAAAATGGTATTATTCTGTTTAGAGAGACCACAGAACAGAAATAACTCTGTTTTATCAAGCCCATCTGGAGAGATGAACATGCCTGCAATCATTGGGAAAAAGGTCAATTCTTCTGATCTTACTGCAGACCTTTCCCAAAGAGCTTATTTTAAAGGTGCCGAATCAATTAGTCTCCCTTGGCATGAGATTAAAGCTGGGAAGAACGCAGTTGAAGATGTATTTAAAATGGTCTTGCATAGATATTTTGCAGAAAAGGGAAGAGACCCACTTTTTTTATGTTTTGTGCTTATTACAAAACAACAAAACAAAACAAACAAATAAAAACCTGGCCTATGTCGGAAACCCCTCTCTCAAGATTTAACTCAGTCTGTATTGCGGCTTCCTAGCTGTAAAAAGTTCTGTCTTGACAACATGAAAACGGTGGAAAGGCCAAGTTGAGAGTCGGCTTCTGCTGGACTGCCTGCTCTTAGCTTGTGCATGTATTTGAATCATGGATCCAGCAGGCTCAAGTACTATCACTTTGGTAGCCTGGGCATTTCTTCTTGTCACTTTTAGGTCAAAAAGTTCAGAGATGAGTGCTTTACCTTAGAAAGTGGTTTATTTTTCTATCATGAACTGGCTGGTTAAAGCATGTGTTTTGGAAAAGAGATAAGGGAAGCACTTCTTTCTGTTTGGGCCCCCGGTTAGAGGGCCCAGGAGTAGCCTTGGCAGGATGGCAGGAGAGCAAATGATGACCTTTGGATGCAAATCAAACCTTTTTTAAGAGGAAAAGTGACAATCATTCCTAACACACCAGTGAAGCCAGGGCCAAATATTTACTTTTTGTAAAAATCAAGCCTGAGCTAGCTAAGTGCATTTATGCAAAGAAAGAAGTAACTGGAGACTTCTATATTATAAAATTTCTTTATGTTAAATGTCCAACTTGAGTGAAGAATGACTGCAAGGTTCTCCTTCCCAGGGAAAATGGGCAGGGTTTGGATGAAAAGTTGAGATTTTAAAATGAGTTTGAAGCTTGTTAAAGTACCCTGACAATACAAATCAACGACACTGTATAATCATTTCCCTTAATAATTACCTGTCAGAACACCTATTATTTATATTACAGGATTAGCCCATCAGAAGTGGATCTGATTTGGACATTCATTGATTAAGGACAGCCGAATATGTTTAAATCTTTATTGTCACTTTCTTCACTGCTTATAAAATGAATTAGCGGAAAATTATTGGCTCACAGAGCCAGATCTGTTGGTAACTATGTTCATGCTACGATTGTACTTATTTATCAGAAAGTTGATCTAAATAATAAATCTAACAGTTCCTTCTAAACTGTCAGTGGAAAGATATGTTTATTACAATGTCCTCCATCAGCCTCCATCGGTGAGGAGAGAGGGGGTTAAGGTAAAGTTTAGATGAAAAAGAATGAGCATAGCATGCCACTGATACAAACCACATGGAGCAGTAAGTAATTATGCCCTCTATTATGCTATGTATATTTTATTTACCCATTTCAGAAGTGGATAATAAACGTAGCCCATCTATGGGAGGAGTTAATAAGGTATCCCAAATGCATGCTCTAACAAAACTCTGAGGATAGTTCTGTGTTTTATTGTTAACCGTTTGCATGAAATCTTCTGAAGCTGAAAAGAAAAAGGAAAGGGCTTTTGTGTTAGTTGATCCTAGGCTATTCTAGGGCT